TAAAACATTTCTTCTTTGTTTGTCATTTTATTGCACATATTCGTGTTATATTGTATCAAGTAGGGAAATTTACTTTTGCTTTGGCTTCATCCTAAACCCTTATCGTGATAGATAACCGATAGCTCAGTTGGTTAGACCACTGACTGTCAATCCTGAGGTTCCGGGTTCGATCCTGGATAACACCCTTGGTTTTTTTTTCAGAAAATTTATCAGTGCTTCCCACCTACCTAGAGGTATACTCGTGCGAAACCAAAGTAAAGCATGTATCAGTGTTGTACACTGGGCATGTAAAAGAACCAAGGGATCTATTCAATAAGAGCTAGGGACAGTTCCCGGATTCCCTTGTATCTCATAGCTGTCTCTAGTGTCTGCTGAGGTGAGGACCCTACTAGAAATAAGTGCTTGCACTTTCGTACGCTATCCTATACCCCCCGGTCTAATGAAACTCAATCAATCAATCAATCGATTATTGAAATAAAGTAAACATGTATTCTATGATTTCAATCACCTACTCGCTAGCTCCCTCACTCGATCACTCACTGACTCACTCGATCACTCACTCACTTGATAAAGGCGGATTTATAAGAGTGATCTGCGCGGTATAACAAGTTTAAATCAACGTGAAAAGCAGTCTCTTCAAGTTCTATATGCTCGCTAGATTAAAATCTGCTAGAAAATCTTCACAAACAGCTTCACCGGTAACAATATCGTCTGGCCACTCGAGGAAAAGGGCTTAATATTAGTCTTTTAAGCAACAGGGCCAATTGTGACACTCACAAAACAAACAACAAACAAAAACAAACAAAAAATAAAGTTTTAATATAACTTAAGTCAGCGTTTCAGTTTAAATAATGAATAAAAAAGCATTAACAATCAAAATCACGGTAACCATACGCGAAACAAACGATATTTTCGAAGATGTTGTACAACTATTAGATTACATAGATAAAATACAAATATTGCGCTTATATTCATCAACAATAATGTGTGGTAACAGCTTTGAGCTAGTTAAATAAAATTAGACATTTTGTCAAAATAAATTACCATTGAATTTCGTAACCCAAGCAAAATATGGGAATTGATTACGTTTTACAAGATAATTGAAAGAAATACGTTATTCCGAAGTTACAACCAACCAAGTCTGAAATTTTATCATTATTTTGCTGCTTAAATGCTTCCGAGACATCACTCTTTTCCTGATATCTATAAAAAAAAATCTTTAAAGTCAATAAACCCAATACAAATAAGTTAAAATTTCAGGTCGTTGTGTTGCGGTTTTTTTTGTGTGCAAAATTTCAATGAGAAGTCAAAAACAGCTATTGACCTCCCTAAAAGTACTCTTCACAATCGCGGCCATTAACATAAGTCGGATACATATCGGCTATGAAATCATCTTCACAATGTCTGTGCAAGGAATACATGTAACAGTTTTTATTAACAACATAATGGAAAGAAAAACTTTAGTCATATGGAAAATATGAATGAATATGAAATATGTGTCTTTTATGGCTGTAAGACATTAAATTTGATTCAATAAGTTCTGTACAGAATTGAACAATACGCACGTAGTTGCGTAAAGACAAGAAATGCGTATGCAATAACGATCACTTATCCAAGAAATACAAATTGCATATTTAGATTCGAACGTTCGTATGAATGAGCAGAATTATTTATGAAAACACTCTCGGGACGTTGTCGTATTTTCGAACACACCTCTTGCTATACTATCAAACAAATACTGGTATTCTATATTTCTTGTACTAGAAATCACTGTAACAAATAATAAAAATCTAACCAATCTACAACCGGTCCTTAATTTATTGCAAATAAATTAGTCAAATCAATCTAATCATGTAACAGTATGGACACTTCTCGTTAAATGTGTGTACTAATTATTCTCAGAGTTTGCTGAAGAAATTTGGTAAAACCTATTTAATTCTTACTAATTATGTCTTGTTTAAATAAAAAATGAATAATAAACTATATTGGAAGTCACGTTCTCTAATACATGTCAAGAACAGTTAGTCTAACGACACTATATATTCATATTGTGACAACCTATGAGTGTAGAGTTTTAAACCTGACATATTAACTTTGTGTGAAGTAAAACATGTTTATCTCATTTTTACAAAGAACCTGTGTAGCAAATTATTAATATTTCTGATATCAAATTTGAGCATAGTATATCTTTAAAGTTATTTTCTACAGTTTATTGAAAATTTAACCCTTTCATATAATTTTCTAAACATTTTGTATGATAAGTAAACTTGAATGGCAAATTCAAAAAGAAAAAGAAAAATATATGTTGACGTGTTGAATTTCTAGTAAAATGGCAGTTTCAATAGTAATTGTATATCCAATGATTATGTATGAAACAAATGATAATCTGAACATATTTCTTTAAAAACGAGTTTTTCATGCTTCATAACTGAACACATAATGAGAAAAATAAACATGGATTCTGTAAATAATAAACGATACCGAAAACTTTCTTTCATAGAATTTCCTACATATTTGTTATAGCAAAATTTTCTGGTGAATTCAAAAATAGAAATAAATATATATGTTGACGTGTTAGTTTTTTTGTAAACGAGCAGTTTCCATCGTTACAGCATATGCCAATTGTCAAAATTACTTAGAAATATCAGTGTTATACGAATCGATTGTTATATATACAACAAAAAAATGTTAAATTTAAATTTATAATTTTTATTTTGTTATATGAAGTAAAATGATACTGAATATGTTTTTAAAACAAGTTATATAAGGTTATATTATTTCTACACTCGACTGACATACGAGAACAATAAGCAAGTATTCAGAAATTCAAAAAAAAAAAAAAAAAAAAAAAGAAAAGAAAAATGGAGCATTATTTTTAAGTTTTTTATTTAATATTTTTTAAATCACCCGAGCCGTTAGGCGAGGGTAATATAAAATCTTGACAGGTAATATATCCACATATATCACTCCAAAATCAAAATAACATATGATATTTTAATGTACATTCTGATTGCATTTATGAAATTAAATGATTATTCGACTTGTCTCAGTCGAAGTATAAAGATTGTAAAATTGTAGACAAATAAATATCACATTCTAAAACATACTTTATTCCATGTTTTTGTTAAATATCATGAATCCTTGTCAAACACTAACAATGGTTATGGTTACATTAGATGAAATAAATACAACACATAAATGATCGTGTGAATATGTACAAAAGGTACAGCCTTATGACCATAACAAAAGTACTCGATGCCTTAAAGGAGAGCAAAGCAACATGAAAATCACTTACAAGGACACCAAGCAAAACAGTAGAACATTAAGACAATTCAGTCTCAAAGGGCTTTAAAAACTGCCCGTCATCAGTCTCCCACATGATCCGTCACCTGTAATCAAAAAAGGAAAGGGTAGCATCCAACTGTAAAAGGATGGAACACCATACATGTCGAATACCAAATTTGAGCATAGTATATCTTTAAAGTTATTTTCTACAGTTTTATGAAAATTTAACCCTTTCATATAATTTTCTAAACATTTTGTATGATAAGTAAACTTGAATGGCAAATTCAAAAAGAAAAAGAAAAATATATGTTGACGTGTTGAATTTCTAGTAAAATGGCAGTTTCAATAGTAATTGTATATCCAATGATTATGTATGAAACAAATGATAATCTGAACATATTTCTTTAAAAACGAGTTTTTCATGCTTCATAACTGAACACATAATGAGAAAAATAAACATGGATTCTGTAAATAATAAACGATACCGAAAACTTTCTTTCATAGAATTTCCTACATATTTGTTATAGCAAAATTTTCTGGTGAATTCAAAAATAGAAATAAATATATATGTTGACGTGTTAGTTTTTTTGTAAACGAGCAGTTTCCATCGTTACAGCATATGCCAATTGTCAAAATTACTTAGAAATATCAGTGTTATACGAATCGATTGTTATATATACAACAAAAAAATGTTAAATTTAAATTTATAATTTTTATTTTGTTATATGAAGTAAATGATACTGAATATGTTTTTAAAACAAGTTATATAAGGTTATATTATTTCTACACTCGACTGACATACGAGAACAATAAGCAAGTATTCAGAAATTCAAAAAAAAAAAAAAAAAAAAAAAAAAAAAAGAAAAGAAAAATGGAGCATTATTTTTAAGTTTTTTATTTAATATTTTTTTAAACAATATATAGCATTGTAAACTTCTTTGACACTTGTCTGTCGACGCATTTTCGTCACTTCATGTACCATAAGTGGGTGGGGTAACGCGCGCGGAATGATCATCACTGTTGTCGCACTAATACAAGGAGAAATCCTTTATCTAAACGACCCTGTTATTCTTTTGAATCGATCTCCTTTTGAACATTTAGAAATATTTATTCTGTTTTAATTACTCATTATTTGTTTGTAGCCGAAATTTAAATAGTTATTCGAGTACTATTCAACTACCTTCTTTTATGAAGAGTAATTATTCATGATTATCTTTCTTGGGAGCGCTTAATGATGCGCACAAAAATTTACTGAAAACGTCTTTAAAGTGTCATTATGCCTATCAAAGGGTATATAGTAAGTGAACAGGTGACAGTCAAAATAAGTTTTCATTTTGTCTTGATTATCACTTTCAATTTTAAATTACCAATTTAATCGACATTAACGATATGAAACGCACTTGACCCAAGAAAATGTATGTAAATACCCCCTGGATTTAATTGTAACTATCAGTTTATAAGTTAGCAGTATTGTTATATTTGAGGCGGTTTTATATTTTATCATAAACATTTCAATATCAGCTAATGGTCCATCACTATTTTAACAGTCAATCTTTTGAAAATTTAATATATAGTCAATTCTGTTCATCTTGACAATGAAAAAACGACCATTTTGTTACTTTAAATGTTAATTTACCGCAAAGTACTCCGTAGTCAAAATATTTTAATGCTATCTGTATTCGATAACAATTGTACTCAATGTTGAATCATATGATAATAATCAGCGTTCTACATCCGTTAGATAAATCGAGTTTTTTCGTTCGTCATATTTTAAAAGAGAACATAGGTAAGTTTTTTTACGAGTATTATAACATTTTTTGATATCTGTGTATTCCTTAAATTCATTGTTAATGTTAATTATTATGCAGAGGCATTTGATCATTTTGTAACTCTCTTATGTTTACATTCAATTAATTCATACTTGATTATTTAATGCCTAATAATATGTATGTTTAGAATTGTTCTGGACGATCACAGGACATACTTTACATTTTTCTGTGAAGAAATTAGGACAGACATTTCAATAAACCCTCATAACTACTCTGAAATAAAGTATATTTAGTAATTATATAGCAATCCTATTTAAAGTATTTAGTGTTATAAAATATTTCAGACAGACAGAAATGGTGAATTGTTTACATTATCATGAAGACGTTGAATGCACAATATTATACTTGGTAATGATTAAGGGCGTTTCGGTAGTTTTTATATAGAAATATTGGCACAGTTAAAATTTTCCATTATAATTTCATGACACTTGGCAAGTTAAAAAATATGATAACATAAATTGTTTACGAGGAATAAATGGATCACCGTTCTCATTTTCAAATTATCTGCCCTTGAATTGGACAATTTTCTGTAACAATCAAAAAGGGAACTATTTCTTAGAACATAACCCAAAAGTTAAAACATGGATTCATTGACGTATGTATAAGTGATCTGGCATTGAAATAACCTCAAATAAGCAGAAAATTCTGATTCAGGGGCAGATAATTGGTGATCCCAATTTCTTTGCTTAAAATATTTCTGTTATGATAGTATAACAACATGCTAAGTTTAAAGAAATTCTATTTGAACAGCTTAATTTTGCCTATATGTCCATATGAAAACTCCCAAAAACGTCGTAAATTACTTACTTTTTGTTATGAAATATGCAAGTCATGTTTTGATTTGTAAAAGTAAATAAAATATTGAACATTCTGAAGGCCAAATACATGTTAAATTTATAAGTAATTTTACATGCATCAAGCAATTAAATAGCATACACTGGTGTCAATTCTAAAGAAATATAACATTTATTTGAGTTATACAATAAAATTGGCTTTTTTTCAAATGAATGATTATAGTAATGGAAGTCATAAAATATACCTCCCTCAAAAATGATCGAAATAAAATGAATAAGAAACAATGATCATCTAGGCAAGGCGACATTCATAGGACTAACTTACCGACAAAACCAAGCCACACTGGCAGGACAAACAACGGGCACCATACCATATCTTAAGAAGGACACAAAGATTGTAAAAAGTAGCGAGGGATACATAACCCTCTATGCTATTATTTTCAGTTAAAAAGAAGGCGAATAATTAAAAATACAAACCCTGTAGAGCTGATACAAGAATTTTTGGACACATATGGTGAATTGGAGAAGGGCGTTAGGGTGGCTAGGGAGGGACAATAGAAAAGAGGGGGAAAGGACAGATAAACTTACCGCTGACGACAATTAACAAGATATGACATAACAAAACTTATCATTATATTAAAAAGGTATAAATTTCAATATTTCCATGATCTTGAACGATTTATTAACTTAAGAACAATAATTATTTATGTTGCTTTTCAGGTTGTTTTTTTAGTTTCTTGTGTGATTGTAGCAGTAATATACCAAATTGTCAAGCGAATTTTAAAACAACGGCGGGATAAATTGAAACATGCTGGAGAGAATCCTCCACATGCATTAACGGAAGTAAATACACAGGTAATATGTTTTAGTAATCTAGTGCAACGACATTTGAAAGGAAATGTGTTCAATAATGTTTTACCCTGTACAGTAAAATTGTTATTCTTTATACACGATGTCGCATAAAAATTACACGAACGTTCAAGTCTATGGTAAAAAAGAAAACGTTCCAGTTATTTTGTTTGCTAACAAAACGCTTTGTTAAGATGGTGTTATTTTTTTTTTCGCATACTATAAGAATTATTATTTCAGTGTATGTATTTGAATAATGTTCTGACAATAATTATTATCTTCCGAACATATTATGTAATTAAAGAAAATTGCCAAAACTTGCATCTTTCGTGGGACATTTTTGAAAAAAAAAAAATCATGTTAATATTAAGGGGCTGATACGGTGGCATAGAGGTGACATTTGCAGTTTTATTTTATCTCGTGGCCACGACTTATTATCTTGAGGCCTCAAGATATTATCTCGTGGCCACGACTTATTATCTCGTGGCCACGACTTATTATCTTGTGGCCTCAAGATATTATCTCGTGGCCACGAGTTATTATCTTGTGGCCACGAATTATTATCTCGTGGCCTCAAGATATTATCTCGTGGCCACGACTTATTATCTCATGGCCACGAGTTATTATCTTGTGGCCTCAAGATGTTATCTCGTGGCCACGACTTATTATCTCGTGGCCACGAGTTATTATCTTATGGCCTCAAGATATTATCTCGTGGCCACGACTTATTATCTCGTGGCCACGAGTTATTATCTCGTGGCCACGAGTTATTATCTTGTGGCCACGACTTATTTTAGCCAATGAAAATGGTCGTTTCATCTTGAACAAAATTTAATATCACACTGGCAATAGCAGTCACAGGAGGGGCGTGTCAATCACCACCATATATTTACTTAAGTTCACGCATTTTCCCAGAGACGTGCTGAATTTCAGTAAGGCTTATCAGCTAGTATATCACTATAAACTGTATTGACCACATTAACACGTCCACTGAGTAGAGTTTTGTCATCACTAATTGGCCCTCTGTATTCTTATCGTATGGTCCTAACGTTTAAGGATCAAGTTTCTATAGATGCAGTTTTTCATAAAATACACTCACTTTTATAAGTGGTCATCACCAGTAGGAAGTTAGCAGTAGCATTGAGCAGTAGCAGTAACAAAATTATAAAACATGAAGTTGGCAGTAGCAGTAGCACAGAAGTAGCAGTGACAAAATTATAAAACGTGAAATTGGCAGTAGCAATAGCACAGCATAAGCAGTACAAATCAAAGAGGAGATCTTAAAAGAATTGACATATGTACGTCTTTGAAACTTGTATACTAGTATGTCAGTTTTTATAATAAAGAAAAAGATTCAGATAACCCGTCAAAGATAGTCATTTATCATTGTGATATTGTAGTATATCTTCAATAATAACTATCTAGATACAAGTCTTTAATGGGATTCGAATCCACAGGGAAAAGGGGCAAGTTATTTCCATGAACGACCTTAAAAGTATACATCAACCGCATATATTTCTTAATTAAATCTCAATTAAATTAGATATACCGTGCTCATCCTTGAGAATTAAAATCACAGATTTTTTTTAATCTATGGTATTCTAACTTAATGCTTCTAACTTGAATAAAGAAATCAATAAACTATGTACAGGAAGCTGCGTTCCTTATAACAGGTCAGGTAATCTTTACTTAAAAAAACTGACAATATATATATTCATGGTGAACCCCTATACTGTGTAGAATTTTAAACATAACATATCTACTATCTTTGAAGTCAAAACATGTTCATTTTATGTTTACATGTACAAAGGGACAATGTAACAATTATCAATATTTTCTAATAGTAAATTTAAGCAAAGTATATCTTTAAAGAAGAATGAAAGAAACACCTGACCATACAAAACAAGAAGAATAATAATTATAAAACGTTCCCTTTCTTCACCGCCGCAGCGCTTGACCCGCCGCTCTTGTGAAAGCTGTGGCCAGTGTGATATAAGGTCTTATTGATATTAACTTTTGTTCAAGTTGAAACGACCATTTTCATTGGCTGAAATAAGTCGTGGCCACAAGATAATAACTCGTGGCCTCAATATAATAAGTCGTGGCCACAAGATAATAACTCGTGGCCACGAGATAATATCTTGAGGCCACAAGATAATAACTCGTGGCCACGAGATAATAAGTCGTGGCCACGAGATAATAAGTCGTGGCCACGAGATAACATCTTGAGGCCACAAGATAATAACTCGTGGCCACGAGATAATAAGTCGTGGCCACAAGATAATATCTTGAGGCCACAAGATAATAACTCGTGGCCAAGAGATAATAACTCGTGGCCACAAGATAATAACTCGTGGCCACGAGATAATATCTTGAGGCCACAAGATAATAACTCGTGGCCACGAGATAATAAGTCGTGGCCACGAGATAATATCTTGAGGCCACAAGATAATAAATCGTGGCCACGAGATAATAAGTCGTGGCCACGAGATAATATCTTGAGGCCTCAAGATAATAAGTCGTGGCCACGAGATAAAATAAAACTGCAAATGTCACCTCTATGCCACCGTAGGCTGATACCATGCGAGCGCATTCTCGAATTTCTGATAGCATCAAAACGAATTAAATTTTTATTTACATTTGCATGTCATTACTTCTAGTTTTAAATATTCCAAATGCTAAATGCAGCTCTTCTTTGCTCGTCAATATTTACCGATAATTCTTAAACAAGAACGGTGATCCCAATTTATTTGCTTAAAATATTTCTGTTATTATTGTATAACAACATGCTTAGTTTAAAGAAATTCTATTTGAACAGTTTAATTTTGCCTAAATGTCCATATGAAAACTCCCGAAAACGTCGTAAATTAATTACTTTATGTTATGAAATATGCAAAAGTCATGTTTTGTTTTGTAAAAGTAAATAAATTATTGAACATTCTAAAGGCCAAATACATGTTACATTTATAAGTAATTTTACATGCATCAAGCAATTAAATAGCATACACTGGTGTCAGTTCTAAAGAAATATAACATTTATTTGAGTTATACAATAAGATTGGCTTTTTTTCAAATAAATGATTATAGTAATGGAGGTCATAAAAGATACCTCCCTCAAAAATGATCGAAATAAAATGAATAAGAAACAATGATCATCTAGGCAAGGCGACATTCATAGGACTAACTTACCGACAAAACCAAGCCACACTGGCAGGACAAACAACGGGCACCATACCATATCTTAGGAAGGACACAAAGACTGGAAAAGGAAGCGTGGGATACATAACCCTCTATGCTATAACTTTCAATTAAAAAGAAGGCGAATAATTAAAAATACAAACCCAATAGAGCTGATACAAGAATTTTTGGACACATATGGTGAATTGGAGAAGGGCGTTAGGGTGGCTTGGGAGGGAAAATAGAAAATGGGGGGGGGGGAGGACAGATACAACTTACCGCTGACGACAATTAACAAGATATGACATAACAGAACTTATCATTATATTAAAAAGGTATAAATTTCAATACTTCCTTGATATTTAACGATTTATTAAGTTAAGAACAATAATTATTTATGCTGCTTTTCAGGATGTTTTTTTAGTTACTTGTGTGATTGTAGCAGGAATATACCATATTTTTAAGCCAATTTTAAAACAACGGCGGGATAACTTGAAATGTGCTGGAGAGAATCCTCCACATGCATTAACGGAAGCAAATACACAGGTAATATGTTTTAGTAATCTAGTGCAACGACATGTGAAAGGAAATGTGTTCAATAATGTTTTACCCTGTACAGTAAAATTGTTATTCTTTATACACGATGTCGCATAAAAATTACACGAACGTTCAAGTCTATGGTAAAAAAGAAAACGTTCCAGTTATTTTGTTTGCTAACGAAACGCTTTGATAAAATGGTGTTATTTTTCGCATACTATAAGAATGATTATTTCAGTGTATGTATTTGAATAATGTTCTGACAATAATTATTATCTTCCGAACATATTATGTAATTAAAGAAAATTGCCAAAACTGATATCTTTCGTGTGACATTTTTGAAAAAAAAAAATAATGGATTAAGGGGCTGATACCATGCGAGCGCATCCTCAAATTTCTTATAGCACCAAAACGAATTAAATTTTAATTTACTTTTGCATGTCATTACTTATAGTTTAAATATTCCAAATGCTAAATACAGCTCTTTCTTTGTTCGTCATTATTTCGCGTCGAATTCAGGATACTGCGTACACACCATGTTAAAATGTTACAGAAATTGAAAAAATGGCAATTGTAGCACCCGTGGTAATCCAAAACTATCTTTTCCACTTCGACGCCATATGATTTAAAATACTTAAAGCACCGTAAAACCAAACATAAAACTAATCAAGTAAATCGTCCTTTTTATGAACTATACATAAAATGATTTTTTTTATAATTCTATGCAACCTCATCATAAAATGTATAATGTATCATGCATATAAAAAGTTTTTTTTTTATTTAATACCTAATAATCACATAGGTCATAGGTATTTACTTAAAACCTTCTAGAATGGTTATCTAATCATAGAAATAAATGCAAATTAATTAACCTGACCAATGGAGATTATATGTTGTAACACCCTGAACTCGATTCAATCCCCCACAATGATAAATTTAAGAGATCTTACAGGGGCTAGGACAGAGGTTTGCCTCTAGAACTCCCACATTACTCTCATATACTCGTATTTATCTGGATCTTTTACTTTTAACGTGACAAATAATAATTTTATATATTATCAAAGCAAAATATTTTACAAGGAGGTTGAATGTCATGAAACATATTAAACTTAGAAAACTCTTTTTTAAGTAAAGTTTTCACTTAAACTTAGAAAAAAAATCACTTAAAAGTTTTTTTTCTTCTTCTTAATAAAATATAAGAAACTTATTTGTAAATTACCAATAATTTTTGTATTATATTATTATAAATTGATCTGTTTTTTTTTATTTTTTCATTTAAAAAAAGTGATTTTGAATAATTTTATCATTCAACCATGGTCAAATATAGTGTCTCTGACAGTTAAATCCTTAAACTTAGGATCTGTACTCAACTATTTTTTTTTTATAAATTAACCAGTCTGGATGGTATATGGTCTTTAAAATCTAAGTTGATGCATGTAACGCTGAACATAAAAAAAAAATTGTTAACTGCTTTTTTCATTGATGCTCACTTGAGGTTTCTGTTAAGTGGATACAGATTATTTAATAATTACAGCATATACATGTAACAGGTTGAGCAAAAGTGTGCAGCCAAACCGGGACCCGAGCCGTTGGAATACCGTTCCGATATTCTTGGGCTCTACCGACTGAGTTATATAGCCACTTACAGAATTCTTCTCCTAAATAGTGAACGATTCCGTGCACGTATTAATAATAAAATAAATCAATAATATATTATTACTTACTTTCTTTTTAAAACAATAATTTCATTATTAATGGACTAATTCTTATCATATATGTATTAGAGTACAGTCAGGCTGTTTATAAATAAATTAGTATACATTAACTATTTTACAAATGTCAAATTCTGAGATTGAGAAATATAACATTATACAGAAATGTCTCAGAAGTTAAGTAAGGTTAACTCCATACTTTGCATTCTGTACTAAACAATTAAAATTAAAAATATATTGAAGCATATCGCCTCTAATGCTATACGAGATAGAATATTTCATTTCAATAGCATGCCATTGCTTTCAGGTTAAAACAGTTTTAATTAATTGTAAAATATCATTGAAACTTCAATTTCAAATATGTCTTTCTCTTGATGTGTTATTAATATAACATATATTATATTGATTAAAGTGACATTATCATTTTTCATTGTCAAATTGATTTTTATAGATTATATATTTCAATAAACTGGTTGTTATAATGTGATTGACCAACACATGATATTTAAAAAAAATAAGGTAAAAAATAAATCTACCTAAACATATCAAAAATACTGCCCTCCATGTTTTATAAAATGAAAGTTACAGATACATTCCGACGGATAATTGCACACAATTCACAGGGCCTAGTGGGTTATATATCATTCATGTGAAGTAAATTATAAAATTGAAATGAATTATGAGAAAATATTAACTTATTTTGACTTTCACCTGTTTATCTACCAAATGGATGAACATAATGTCACTTTAATAGAATATAAATGTACCTAGATGAAATGAAACTTGGTTATAGAATTTTAAATCACTTAAAATTTTGCCATACATATATTCACCTAGCATAGTTTTATTTGTAAATAGCAGTTGTTAAGTATTTGCCTGACCAAAATTCCCTAGAGATTTTATTGAAAGGTTAACTCAAGATCATGCCTACTGTTAGAAGCGTTACTGAAGTTTATAATAGTACAGTAATCATAATTTTTTACAAATTAAGAATTGTTGTCTGCCCAAATAATTTGACTGCAATAAATTGGTTGTCCATGTATTTCAAAATATTTTCAATTTTAAAGATCACTGAAAGGATATCATCATCATTATTATTTATATTATTAGCATAGCAATCAACGTGCGTCTTCAACTCTCACAATGATCATTGTCGTCAACATTAACACCATCATCCTCATCAATTCAATATACACACTTTGCTTATCATAGGTTACGTGATTAATTCAATAATTTCAACAATCTTTATTACCATCTTCATCAACACAATTAGTAAGTCGTCATCATCATCAACATATTTTCATTCATTAACGTATCTTCATTATATATACTATTAGAATATTTGTTTGTTCATGAGATGAAATAAAATTACATCTTACATAATAAACAAACAAATTTTCTTTTTCTTTTATGCTTTAAAACAAGTTAAAACGAAATTTTCTTAATATTTACGTTAATATTAAAATTTGTTTTCCCCATTGAGAGCCCCATTTAGTCGAATTTCTCATTAAATTCAAGAAGTCGTGGGATGAAAATATGTTCGACAATCAACGTTAAATGGCGGTGATATCATTCATTTTATTAAAACAATATGAATGATTGCTTGTTTTAATAATAAAAAAACAAACAATTCTAGTAGGAGAAAAAGTCCAACCATCCATACATGTTTCTGTTACTTACTGAGAATTAATATTAGACCTGGCTTTGTTAAATGAAGGCGGCCGCCATTTTTAAAAGTTATGTATTTCACGGGAGGAAAATAATTGCGTTTGATCCAGAGGGATATCATTTGCATTTGTTAGTTAAAAGAAAGAAAACTTATTTGAGGATTGTAACAGACCACAAATAAGTGTTGACAGAAGTGTAAAAATTCAAAAAGCGGCTAGGAAATTGGAAAACTTGAAATTGATAAAGGCTGCCTTACGTACGCTGGGTTGTTATTTATTCTTCGAGCTGATGGCTGTCATTGCTTTTCAAGTTTTCATAAAGCATACGGCAGTTCTGGCTCGTAGAGTACTAAAATATGCCCAAATGTCATCAAGAGCAGTTTTCATATTGAAAGAATGTAATTTTTAGACTGTATAAATGAAACAAAAAATAAGAGACCATATTTGGTGATTATAATTTGAATGAATAGAAGTAAGTTTTCTTCATTTTTACTTTTGACATTTAAGTTATTTATCAATTTCAGCTTTGCTTTTCTCTAAAAAGCCTGACATTATTAGAATTGTCAACAAAAATAGAATTCAGGTACCACATGGGGAAAATCTTTAGAAAGTAGTTTCGTCATTAAAAAGTGTGAAATTATATTTTGATAATTTTCACTGTGAAATTATCAAATATAATTTTCACAGATAAATCAGTAATCCACTGAAAAGCATAAGATAATAGAGAATAACATCATGACCAGCAGTATGATCAGCGTCATCATTATAGTCATTATCATCATAATCAATATCATCACCATAACAATCACTTCACATTTCTCCCCCTCATACAGTTAATACTGAATTGTTCTATACCTTGCAAAACTTGTTATTTCAATAGGCACATGAAACAAACACTTCTCACTCTGATCAAATATGATACAAACAACCAGGGTTCCCCTTTGGGTGCCACATGTCAAAGGTTGAAACAAGTGCCTGAAAAACATTTGACCCTTAAGATACTATCTAGCAGCTCTTCAGACCGAGCTAATAATTACAGGTACATTCATAACTGTTAATTATGCTATACCATGATACAATTAACATTAATGTTACTCATCATCATTAATATCATCAACATTATTCAACTATTAAGACGGGCACCTTCTTTGTAGGGAAAATGAGCATGTCAACCTTTATCACAATCGTAATCGGAATCATCATCAAATTCACAATATTTTGATAATGATCTTCAACATCAATATAATAATTATTATTGCAACCAAAATACATTTGCTTATCATCATCATCATTATCATTTCATCACATGAAAATAATCATTAAAGTAAACATACCTGTGCTCTTCATTACCAAAATTATTATCATCCTAATAGAAATACTTCTGTGCATCATTACCATCATCATTATAATTATCAACAATGCATTCGACATGCTTCTGCTCATCACCACCATAACAAACAGCATACTTTCAATTTTTCAGAAATACATCATCGTTTTTGTGAAGAACAAGTGCAACATGTTTCCTATCTTCATCATCATTATCATAGTAATCAGTCTGCTCTACATCATTATCGTCATCGCAATCAGCATTTTTCTCCTTATCATCATATATATCATCAACCACATGAAAAACACTCCCTCTGGACGAGCAGTTTTACCCTCATTCCGTTTTTGTCTTGTACTCTCTGGATAACCTATGACATTCACTTTTTCTGGAAAGTTTTTTTTACCCTCATGCATTCCCCTTTTAGTCAGATTTGTTACGAAATATACCTTTCCCGACAAGCATTTTTAACCGTTGCTTCCCGCTTGACGGTTACCACTTGCACAACCTACTGACGGCACTTTTCCAGAAAAATACCCCAACAAGGTAATCTTTTAAAACAGTACATCAAACAGGTCCCCTGTGGACAATCTAGTGATGTACTTTTCCTGACAACCCCCACCCCCGACTAGCATTTTCAAACCTGTATGAACGGTAACCTAGCGACAACCTTGGACAACCAGCCTAATGAAGACAATTGTTCGCATTCATTTTTTCATGTTATCTTTTTCTTAAAATAAAATTCAAGCTGACCTAAAAATAATTAATTAATTATCTTAGGCATATCATCGTTAATAAAGAGACGTATACATATTTCTTAAAAAATGAAAAAAAAATCATTTAGTAGAATTGATATCTATAAGGACAAAAAAAAATGTTTTTATTCTCAAACATGCATTAAATGTGCTTTTTCATTTCCTATCACCAATTGTCATATCTTTTTACATTGTTTCGCTTTTGTAATTTTATACATTCATCTTTGCATTTAATTTCTTTCAGATGGTTGACAGTGGCACCTTAATAGTTAAGACTATTTAAACACATAGAATAAATACACACTCAAAAGTCAGTTTAAAAACATATACAAAAAAACATATTTTTCAAGTTCGATTTAGAGCCTGTTTTGAAATGTGGTCATCATACATGTATAAAGGGACGCGCAAAAAGAAAAAAAATCATCGTGCGTACACAATAGATGAAGATACGAATCAAACTCCTCAGAGTGCAAATGATTATCCCTGTACACTGCACTCCCCCTAAATAATGATAATGGAATGTAAAAAAATAGACAATTACGTATTTTGTTTTTATTTGTTATCAATTATCTTATCCGATTCGTTTCACTAAAACTGCTTTTGCGCGTTTGTCCTTGTATTATTCATATAATTATTTTCTTAAACTTTGTTAACTTTATTATTCACATATTTTCTTAAACTAAATGTTCGTCTTCTGTCTTGCTTCGTCGGGCCCTTGTAGGTGATTTTCTTTTTGGTCTGTCTTCCTTTAGGATATTGAGTACTTTTGTTATGGTCAATGGGTTTAATTTTAAATGTTTTTACACGGTCATTTTGGTTTTACACTTATTTAACCTTTTGTAACCATAACAACTATTAGAATTCCACTTGGCGGGCATTCATTTGATTTACACTGTCCCGTTTCTAGGAACATGGTGGGGCTAAGAGTGAGGTTTGGCGCACCATTAACCGGTTGAAACTCCCCAGCAGTATTTATGCTGCTGACTGTTCCAAGGCGGCGCCCCTCTGTGTTCTTCAGATGTATGTCTTTGTTGTTTCAAACTGTTTTGGTGACACTTGTGTTCTTTGTTGCTTTCTCGTCTATCGCTAATATTTTCCACTTTGCCCCTAGTTTTTTCCTTTATTGACCCCCATCTCCGGATCTCCTGTCCCCCTTCCCATGTGCCCTTTGACTTTATTGACCTATTATCAATCTTTTTTTTTCTTTATCTTCTGATCAGTTATTAATTATTTCTTCTCATATATGATTTTCTGTATTCAACTAATAAATTTGTAAAATGTCTATTTGATTGTATACTTCAAACATCATTATATATTATATTAAAGTGACATCATGCTATTTTTTGTTTTTAAGTGAAGGTGAATTCACTATATAGTTTTTTAGATTAACTGATATAATGGTGATTGACCAATATGAGACGTTAGAAAATTTTAAGAATAAATAATAAAGCTGAGACAATCTTAATTATAAAGAAAGACCCAATTGTTCATAAAATGAATATTACATGTAATGTTTGATACAAAATATGCTTAACGTTTTAACAGTGTAATGAAAACATATTTGTTAAGCGATAATAATGTACATCCTAAATAGAATATCTAGAAAATATATTCAATATAAAGCTTTTGATCATAAGATAATGCTTTAACTTAATATATTAATAAAACTTACGAGGATCTTTGTTTCCAGATGTTTAATTTATAAAGAGTTATCGTTGATTGATGTTTAATGTACATGTCATTCCAACTATAAAATATTATGTCTAATAAATAAATCAGACTAACATTGAATATATACTGTAGACATCATATAAACTATAATCAAATCGATAGTTCTTTATTTTCTCATATATCATAAAAAAAACATAAAAATGCCAGTTACAATGTCTTTTTATTGTTTGCATAGGGTTCGAAAGATAAAAGGGCACACTCTAAGGAAGTTCTAGCGGGTTTGAAAAATGTAAAAGATGAACAAAATTGTCGCTGTTACACAAACGAGGTAATTGTTTTTGTACTCTTGCCATTAGTCATTTTCTATATTTCACTAATAGAAGTGAAAATTGTCTGTGTTTTGATTTTATAATACAAACAGAATATCATATATTAATAAAGTAAGACTGTGTTATTTTTTTTTTGTCAAGTTGAGCTGAATTTACTATATATATCAAGATTAACTGATATAATGGTGATTGGCTAACAGGTGACATTAAAATTATTTAGAATAAAATTGTAAAGTTCCCGCTCTTTTTGAAAAATTGAATGTTACAGGTTATTTCAGACTGATATTTACGGACATTTTCTGAGCTACGTGTCGTTAATGCATATTAGATTATGAAACTGAAAGGAATAATGGTAAAACAGATTTATTTTTACTTTTCTGAGTGTAACGGTTCATGCTTGTTGACGCTTCCTGATGTCAGCCAGCCCAATTACGATCTTAAACAAAAATTACTACCTAAAAGCATTGATATGATGCTGATTATTTCACCACAATGAGAGCAACGTTCGATACGGATATTTTGCCGAGCAGTAGTATACAAATCTCATTTGTTTTCAATTGGTATGGGCTAAATCATGTGTGTTTGCATATATCATGATAAACACAACGATAGAACAAACGTAATCACTAAATGTGATTTTTAAATAGTTAAAGTATTGGGCAATGATGTAAATGCTACAGAGAGGACTGGCGATATCAATAACAATGGTTGAAAGACTGCATAATGTTAAAATTCATTGATATAAAATATACTTCTAGAACTGTGAAAATAGTTCAACTTTTAATGTTTTGACGCTCAATAAAATGTTTTTTTCACTTTAATTCTACATTTGACACTGTGCATATAATCCAAATTGCATAGCTTCAAATATGTAAACCAAAATTCAGTCACTAGGTCAACAAAATGTTATATCAAAGTTCAAATCTGCATTAGAAACTGTGCTAAAATAGTCCAAATTTTATTGCTGTGGCTTTAAAAACAGAACAATTGGTCACAGGTTTTAAGTTTTAACTATATTCAAATAAGCGACATTCATCACCCATCCGTGCGAAGCCAGTTTAAACCACAGAGCTATGTTTTCAAAAAATTTGGTAGGGGTCAACAAGGCAAATGCCTTCGTAGTTTCAGAGAAAATTAATATTTTATAGAATAATAAGAAAAATCCATGACTCAGGGATGAGGCCAAATCAGACCAACTAGGTATAACTTGAATAAACTTGGAAAACTTCCACAAAACAATAATGCATGTCAAATGATAAAGCATATTTCGACTTAATGGCTTTTGAGAAAAGTAAATGTTTAAATTTTAACTTTATACATACAGGTTTGATGAAAATATATGACCTCCCTAAAACAAGACAAATTTAGACCCAAGAACTATAATTTGAACAAACCTCGTCAACGTCCACTTGGCAACGTTTCTTGTTATATATCTCAGCTTAATATTTGAAGAGAAGAGAACTGTCTAAAGTTGTTATTGTTTACACTTACAAGAAAATGCATGGCCCTTAACCTGGGATTATATTTATCTAGACGACAGAGCTATAATGAGAAAATTTAGTTCAACTAGACAAGGTTGTTATTTGCTTAATACATAAGATTAGCCTTTACATTTAATGTTAAGTTCTTACTACAATTAAACGCAAATTAAGGAAAATACACAAACTCCCCTGATTTGGACCCAATGGTTATAATTTGAACCAACTTCAAAAGGTCTGCAAAGCAGTAATGTCAATTATTTCAGCTTTAGCTTTCATCGTTTAAAGAAGAGGAAAGTTTAATGTCCTTACTATAAACATAAATGAAGAAAACCTCTCCCATGACGTGGGCCAATTGTGATAAAGGTCTACTAGAAAATGTTTTAATATGCTACATATCTATTTGTGAGACATAGCCCTTGCAGAAAAAAAAGCATTTTTAAAAAGCCATGATACATTAGGTGCGTTGCCAATTTTGACCCTTTTAGAGGAACCTCTTTTGTGGAGTTTTAATAAATAATGCTTAACATAAATTTTTTAACTCTATGTATTTCGCTCCCAAAGAAGTAAAGTTTTAAAGATTTAGTTTTCAGAATCAATGTGTATCACTTATGACGCATGTGCTTAATGTCGCAGACCGTTTTGAATGAATTAATAGAGCTTCACGCTCGGACGCATTTGCGGAGGCACAGGCTCGCAGATAGACGCCAAACAAATTGTCCAATGTGCTTATTAAGGCCCCCCACGATAACACGTTTAAACGGGTTCGTTTCGATTTTCATTCATAAACGTTTACGATATTGTTTACCGTTTAATCGAAATGACCATATTTTTTTACAAAATTTCTTAATTATTGCCTGTTATCATGGATTTTATCAATTCTACTGGTTGGAGACCACCAAAACCGGACAACCATCAAACCCGGCCGGCCCAGAAAATGCTTAATTTAGTATTTTCTTTGTTCAGTGGATGTCAGTCACTTTTTTACCAACAATAAATGCATGTTTCTTCTATAATTAAATAAATAAATTTATTCAACCTCCGTAACTGGTTATATTTTAATGTCTATTTCAAGAATGTTGACGTTGAAATTTGGGGGCCAGGAAAGCAATGCCTGACCTCATATACCAGCTATAATCATTTACAGATTTAATAAACAAACAATATCCAAAACTTCAGCATTTGCTGCTGAAATATCATATTGTTTATCATGTTAAAAATAAAAAATTAAAAACCCAATCTTCCTTTGAAATTAATTACCGGTATGTCATGTACATTTCTGTCCGGACACATGGTATTGTAGTGTAGACAATTTAGGTAATTTTTATACCCTCCTTGTCGGGCCTCAGATAAAAGTGTCAATACATTCAGAAATAAACAAACTAGTTTGTAAGTTAGGGGAAGAACCTAGCTGAACTGTGTCGAATTGTTAGGTCTCTATGTTAAAAATTATGAAATATGTACAGAAAAATGTTCAAAAAGTGTCCGGTTGATGGTTCCCGACCAGTAGTGGTTTATTCCTAAGTAAACAAACGGAAAATATGTGTTTACAACCCTCCACACAGCATTAAGGTGCAAAATTGCTTGTGACATAATACGTTTTTGGTAAAAATTGGGGTTACAATGCAAAAAATGTGTGCTGACTCAATCGTGATGAGCCTTGCACATTCTTTATTTGTACATGTATAAAAAATAGAAAGAAAGACATCATTTAGCGACTTAAATACATGGTGTGAATAGTACATAGAGGTACCACCGTTTAAACGGTATCGTTTCGGATCTTAGCAATCGTGTAAACGTTTACAAAAAGTTATAAACGTGGGAGCCTTAGTGCTTATGTGACATAAAAGTTATACGTAATTCATGCCCAAACAGGGCGGTGTGTTGAATATACCTTATTTCATTTTATATGTTTACCCTAGCAACTCAACACATTTTAGGTATAATGTCCCGGACAAAAATCAGAGTGTAAAAATGAACAAAGGGCAATTACTCCAAAATAAGGCAAGGCAGAGTTATGGTTCTTTTGCACTGGACTTCTATCAAATAAGATCTATCTACCAACAAAGTTTCATATTGATATATTTTACGGTTTCAGTGTTATGTCCCGGGCAAAGTTCAAAATGTTAAATGAATAAAAGTCAATAACTCCAAAATTAGGCAAGACATAGTTAACGTTCTTTTGCAATGCATTTCTACTCAATGAAACTTATCTCCCAACAAAGCATCATGTTGTTATCTCTTAAAATCTATAAGTTATGTCCAGGACAAGGGAAGCGGACTGACGAACAGACGGACGGACAAAGTGGCGACTATATGCTCACCATTTGGGGAGCATTAAAATAAAATAATATTGGTCCTTCAAAACAACTCTGGTCATTGTAAAATTGTCCATAATGGAAGGTTTGATGTATCATATCTAATTGTGATAATTGTATTAAATATCGTACGGTTTAACAAAATATCGAACTATAACTCACACGTATTGCTGTACCTTACATGTTTTAACTTACATATCTGTTGGAGTAAGTCAAGTTCGAATATGGGTCACCTGGGGTCAAAAACTATGTCACGCCGCCAAAATATTGAAAAACCTTGTTAACAATCTAGTGATCACATTTTTGACTCAATCATCATCATGCTTGGTCAGAATGCTTGTCTAGGTAATATTATAGCTCAAAAGATCTCGAACAGGGGTCTCCTCGATTAAAAAACTAGGTCAATGGAGCTAAAAATAGAAAAATATTGTCTGCACTCTAGTGGCTACTGTATTCATCCAAATAACCTGGAAATTTGTCTGAAATTTTGTTTTGATAACTTCAAAGTTAAGTTCGAATAAGGGTTGCCTGAGGTTAAAAACTAGGTCACACTGCCCAAATATGGAAAAACCTTTTTAATACACTTGTCGTCACATTTTTTACTGAAAGACTATCATACTTGATCAGGATGTTTGTGTAGGTTATAACTTGAACGAGTTACTGGGATACTTCGGATGAAAAACTAGGTCACAAGAGCTAAAAATAAAAAAAAATATTGTTAACACTCTTATAGCTACTGTATTAATACAAATATCCTGGAAATTTGTCTGAAAGTTTGTTTTGTTGACTCGAAAATGGGTCACCTGAGGTCAAAAAATAGGACACACTCCAAATATCGAAAAACATTGTTAACACTCTAATGGTCACATTTTTGACTTAATTGTCATCAATTGACAGGATGCTTGTCTAGTTTATTGCTCGAATGATTTCGAACATGGTTCATTTCGAATGAAACACTAGGTCACAGGAGTTAAAATAAGAAAAATATTGATAACACTCTAGTGGCTACTGTTTTTATCCAAATGTTTTGCAAATTTGTTTTCTAGGTCAAGTTTGAATATGGGTCACCTGGGGTCACAAACAAGGTCACACTGCCCAAATATGGAAAAAAACCTTGTTGACACTAAGGTCACATTCTTTACGCAATTTTCATCAAACTTGGTCAGGATGCTTGTCTAAGTAATTGCTCGGATGAGTTCGATG